GGTGGAATTGCAGGGCTGGACGCTGTAGACAGCCGGGATGAGTTGTGAGCAGTAGTCGGAGTCACATGGAATGAAGGAATAGGAGGATGAGTTGGAAGGGTCGAAGATGGGTTCCAACTGTTGGTAGCAGCTGATGGCGCATGGTTGGCATTGAATCCAAGTTACGGAACTGCCGGTGTCGAAGAACAAGGTAAAATATTGGGTTGGTGTACCAAATCCAACCTTAACAATGTACTCGGCCATTCCGAGAGGGAGACCGAATTTGGCAGGGATTGAAGCCCTGAATTGTCCTCCAGAGATTGCATTTGAAATCCTTGAGTGGATGGATTGCAGTCGGAGTTGGTCATGGAGGAGGATCTGGAGAGGACTGAAGGTTGTGTTCTTCACTAGGTCCGACTGTGAACATGGCCCATTTTTGTGCACTATTTGTAACTTTGTTGAATGATTGTAACCTGCACCATGGTATGAAGCAATCTCAGAGATAGATATTAGTTACTTGCTCCTAGGACCTCAATAAAAATTACAATAAAATATTAAACTGTTTATATGTGGATAAAACTAGTGTTTTCAATCAAAATAATCTTATATATACTGTATACGAAAATTACCCTTTTAGACATAAAACAGAACAAAAGATATTATAAGAAAATCGATCAGGAGACCTCTATATATTATTAACTATATAATGGGTTCAAGTAGTCTGGATCGGTTTGGTACAAAAAGAACTACAGGTCCTGAGACCCAATTATTAATCGGTTGGTTCAGTTGGATAGAACCGGCTATTGAGAGCTCCACTGAAAAGTCACAGTATGTTTGAGAGAGAAAGTCAGAAAAGTGAAAAGGAGTTTGAGATGAGATATAACCCTTTACAAAACCAAAAATAATTAAATGGGTTGTCCAAAAATGATTCAATAATTAGCATCCATAGGTATATATATTAAGCAATTAATAAACACTACCTATGATGAAGTTTATTCACATTGAGGGAACAGGGAGCAACTTGCTGCTGGCAACCGCGAGTTAATGGCAGCCTCTAGCCTTTCTCTTCCATAGGCCTTGACCTTGTCACAAGAACAGCAGAGAAGTAAAATGAAGAAAGAATATAAGAGATAGCTGAGGAAAGAAGCCTGCCGAATGGCCATGAAATGAGTAATTAATGGCCGATATTGTTATATACGCTTCCCTTGCTGATGCCCTTGTTGCAGCAGGTTTGTGGCTGCTCGTGGCTATTAGTGCTATATACAGAATTAAAGAAGCATTTGGCCGGCAATGAACAAGATCAGCAACCGTATATCAATAGTGACGTCCATTTTGTTAAAACTAAACCTGTTGTGTGAGTCTCCTGATGAATCCTCTGATAGCGTGAGTCGTGAGATATCAAACAGAAGAAACACGAAGTTGCAAATATGCACGTATTTTTTGACCTGCTGGTAGCTTCAATCAAATCATGTTTGCAACACTTCCCACGGAATTGCACTGCAGTTTGGATTGGAAAATCCACAAGGTCAACATTATGGGTTTATGGATTGGAGATTAGTCTCAATCGCATTGCCTACTTGTTTATTAAAAACTAAGCCTGTTAATAATTAGCAATGAAGGTTGGAATGATTTTATATATTCTTCTTTTGGAAGGAATATTATTGATTATTAGCATTTAATTATTGAATAATTAACATTTTTTGTGCTGAGCTTGATGCAAGCCAAGGGCGCGCGTGCGTTGTGTCGCGTACAGGATTATTTATTACTAATATATAGACAGAAGGAAATGAAACTTGTCAATTAGTTACTGATCGTCTGTTATAACTTTCTTGTAAAACTTTTAACTATTTTACAGACGAGAAACCCAGCTCTCTCTCTCTCTTACGCAGACGTGCACAAACTCCTCTCCAATTCTAGAAGGTGTAAGAAGTATAGTTAACATTCACTAATTACTGCGAAAGTTATGCTATAGATGAGCTTATTTAGGTTCTGGTTGCTGGTTAAGCAGTAGATGCAGATGCTCATCTCTTGGCAACCAATGTCCTTGTTAGACCATATGATTGTTGCAAAGGCTCAGTTTGGAATGTAGAGTGCAAAACCTTGCAATTTGGATGTATATGTAACTATAACCCATTTCAAACTGAGCCTAAGTCTGCGTTTGGAAACAATGCAAATAAGTGTGAATGTAAATATGTAGAGTGTAAAACGGTCCATATAAATTGGAAAGTTTGGTTGGTTTTGCACTGACAAATTTACCTTCTTGTCAAACAGACTTTTAGCTGTAATGGATGCAAATATGAATTCCAATAAAGCATATGTCTTTTTTTTTTTAATCAAAAACCCACTTGAATGCAAATTTACTTCTTTTTTATTGATGTACTTTTATATCTTATTATCAATATAATTATGCATTGGAAAATGTGTCTTCTATCTTTTGTTAATGCATAAATATAATGTTATCAAATATAGGCAAAAGTGAACTAGAGTGCAAATTTACCCTGAACCGGGATTTACATTCCATTTGCATCGTTTCCAAATGCAGCCTAAATATCAAATCAGATAACATTAAGTAAATGAGTTAGCACAGCCTAAATACATTCCATTTGCTGCAGGTGGTTAGCACAGGGCTAAAATTGAAGAATCCAATTTGAAGTAATCAAATTTTAAAAATTGATAGAAATAAGTTTGTAAAAAATATAAAAAATTTGTAAAAAAATATGAACATATCTCTAATATTATATATTCATCGTATTAAAAGATAAATATACAAGAAGTGAAATACAAAAGTTAGGAAAAAAGAGTGAATTAATCCCACTATCCTAGTGATCAAATGGTTCAATGGTTGGGTTAGCTAGATCATATTTTTGGCTGAGTCAACGGTTTTGTACAAGCACCCAATTTGGTAGTAAATGAACCTGGTTGGATATATAGAAAGATAGCTGGTCCAACTGATCTTTAGGCAAGTAATGATTCAATTAACACCAAAACATTGATATAAGCTATTACAAATGAGAAGATTTGAAAGAGGTCTTCAGGTTGAAAGACAATAAATCCAACAATGTGCCCATTGTTCGACTCTCTGTTATCATCTGAATGGAGAATTTCAGACCAAAGAAATTCAAATGCAAATCTACATTGTGATGCGACAGCTTCAATTAGCCTTGCATCACTGCCCACGAATCGAAGTTCAAGGTCTACCTGCATTGAACATGAGCTCTTTTATATTTTTTCTCTTTTCCTTCCTTCCTTTGTTTCTCTTTTCTTTTATTTTTTTTCCTACTAAAATGTTATCTTGATTATACTTTATTGCTTATGAGGCAGAATGGGAAGCGTGGGAGGAAGGAGAGCACTATCTTCTTCAAAGAATGTTTCTTGAATCCACACAAGAAAGGGAAAATCCTTAAATCTACAGGAAAAAGAGAAAACTCGAGAGTAAATCTTATTCAATTAAATATACAATACTCTTAGTTACAGACAATTCATCAACTAAAATTAGAGAAGTCCTAATTGGACACAAACTACCTAAAATAGTGTATCTAACCAAAAAGCAAACTTCTTGATCTAATTCAGACTCAAAAACTCAAAATTAACGTTCTTCTTTTTCCCATAATCAGTTCTCCACCCCTTTGGTAAAATGATCATAACTTTGCTTAGAAAATTCCAAATTTGATTGATCTTTTGATGCATTGGGAAGTAGACTTCAAGAGCTTTCTAAATATCTTTAGAAATTCGCACTATTAGGTACAAATCTACTACAAAAATAGCCCAAAACATCTAGCTTTTATGACCATCTGAAGTATTAGCACCTTCTTTGGGCTTCTTCTTTTTCTTTTCTGTCCATGGGCTTCCAAAAATTGTCCAATAACTCATCCTACATCAGCTTAATTTTACTTTTATTTATTTATTTATTTATTTATTTGGGGTGTTAGGTAAGGATCAATTTCATATCATTTACAAGGATTATCATTTGAAACCCCTCCACCTTTCTGATTTTTCTCTTAATAAAGCTCTTCATTACCTCTAATGATCCGTCAAACATTTGCAGATGCCCCTCTATTCAACTCTATTATTTGACCAAATTTCCACAAATAAGCCCATCCATTCACTTGATACTCAAAATGAACTGTTTCGTTAAGGCATTAAACTGTTTGTTGGTTGTCAAATGAGTGAACATGAAATAGGCAATAAAATAGGGGATGGAAATAAAGGTGTATTTTTATTATACGAAAATTAGTTAACGGAGTACACTAGCTGGTCAACCTTAATTTTTTATTAAAAAATAAAAATGGCACATAAGTTATAAAAATGGCACATACATTAAGGTGTTTGGATGTATCAAAAAGTCAAAGTTTAAGAGAATGTTAAGAAAGTAAATTGGTGCATTAGATGAAGGTTCAAAATATTGATACGCCCGATACGACGTATCGGTACTTTTTTTTCAAAACCGGTTCAGGGGGGGCCGGTTTAAGACTCCTCCACCTCTGAATTGGTCAGAACCCCGATACACCCCCTGTAGGGACATACCGGGGAGCTCTCAAAACGATACATATCAGCCCGTATCGGCCGATACGTGTCGATACTTTGAACCTTGTATTAAATAATAAACCATTGAATCTATATAAATCACTAGCACATTTCGTCGAGGGATTGCAAGGATGACAAGATTGACAAGATTCCCTCCAAGCAAGAACCCTGCAAACACTATAAGGGAATCCAGCCTTATATTGGAAACATCTTTCCATGTTTTAGCATACATGTACAGAAAATGAAAAAATATACCCAATGTGTGGCTGAATGTTGTGTACCAGAATTTTTTCTTACAAGAGGTCGGGACTCATTGCAAGGGACTCCAGATCTGCTGTTTACAGTTGGGTATAATGGGTTATGTTAACCAATCACGAGTGAGCATACCAATGTCCAGATCTAATAGGCACAGCATTGTAAGCAGGTTCACTGACAAATGCAATATATATATATATATATATATATATATACATATAAAATTAAATCTCTCTCTCTCTTCCTGTGCATTTGGATTCAAAGGCTTCAAGTCCACTCAATCATCAATTTAACTGATAACGAATAAAACAGAAAAAAAAAAAATAGTCCTTTCATTTGCCTTCCCAGTTCATTCCATTTGAGGCTTTTTCATCTTTGCAAAATCACAAATGAGATCTCAATTTCTAAAATCTTAGTGAGAATCCAACATTAACCTTCGAACAGCTCCAGATTGGAGCATTACACTGCTAGAACGAAGAGAGATGAAAGATGCGGTTGTAGAGTCATCACAATGGTTTTAGAATTTTATGCAGCTTATCCTTGACAGTTTATCCTGTAATGAAAATGTCAAAAGGTCATGTTCTTATCTGAACTCCAATAACGTCAATGCTCTTTATTGTAGATCAAACAGTTTCAAGTTTCAACATGTAACATTCCCCATCTAGTCCAAGTGATGATACAAGTTAGGCACACACTGTAAATTATTAACTCATTAGATTGCAATGCCACTTTGTTGAACCCCATTACAGTCACAATCCAAAAAATATGAAAGTTCTTAAAGAAAAGGAAACTAATTTAGAATATCCCAAACCCCAAATTCAAAATCTATTTCATGGTTTGAGGTGAATGGTTAAGACACATTATGACTAGTTTTTAAAAGCAGAAAGGTGGCGATGAAGCAGACTTCTTTCTTAATGTTCAGAGGCATAAGAGCCAAATAAGTTCACGTACTGTTGGAGGCATAATGAGATTGTTGGAGAGGAGATAGTTCAGTCACAGTGCTTGCAAATGTCATAACGATTCGTAGCCAAGCTCCTACTGTTGCACGCCTTCATAGCACAGCACCTCTTCCAAATTGGACAAAGGAAAAAAGAATTGGAAAGCAGACCCAAATGGCTGCCTTTTCTCTATTCCAGTGTTTTTAAGACTTGGACCAGATTAAAAACCAAAATGATCCATGGATAAACCGGGCTATTTGCCTGTTCAAACTGTCAAATTGACATTGTTCTCACGTATGTGGGTAGTGTGTATATAAAAAAGCATTTTTAATTCCACATTTTGAAGTACTCAGTTCAAAAATAAAAGCATGAAAAGTTCTCACTTCTCAGATCTACGGTCCTTGGAGTTAATCAGCTTCTTCATCAGATTCATCATAAAGGTCATAATCGTTGGCTGAATCAGCAATGTAATTAATCAAATCTTCATCATTTCCATCACCCGACTCCCCATTGCTTTCTATCAGCTTTTCTTGTTCTTGATTCACTAATTCCATTATTGCCTTTCCTTTGCCTATAGTTATACCAACAAAGAGTAAGAAAAAAAATTAGAACTTAAATAGATTTTAAAAATTAAAAAGAAAAGAATAAAATGCAAAAAGCTAACCTTTTGACTTATCTTCACTCCTCTTGTGTTTTGAAGAAGATGCTCTGCCTTCTCCACTGCTGCCAATAGCATCCAACATTGTTTGTTCATCAAGAACAAAATTATCAAGCAAAGATTGATATTCAGCGGGCTCATCAATGACCAGATTACTTGTAGACTCTTCTGTGATCCACTCATCATCCGATTCTAAATCAACAAAATCCAAACAAATAGGATCTTCCATGGCTTTCCTCTTATCTTGTCTTTGTGCCAATTTCAAATTGTACATAATATACACCACCGAATTCAAACGTTTTTGCTGTAAACAGTTTCTCTTCTTGGCATGAACCTATTCCTCAAGTTGAAGATCCACATCCAATTAGATGATGGTAAATAATTAGTATAATAGTGAATTACTAACATTTGACTAAATAATAAGGCTAACAGTGTATCACTAATATTAAACTTTGAGCCTTCATCTCTTGAAATAATATTTTACCTGGTTCAATGAGTTCCATTTTCGCAAACAACAGGAGGCACTACATGCAAGGCTTAACAATCTCATGGAAAACCTTGTCAACTCTGGGGTTTCATCACCATATGCCAACCACCATTCAGCTAACAAAAATACAAAAAAAAGTAAATAAAATTAGAAAAAAAAATGCAATAATATCTAATACTAAATATAACTTCTAAGACCCATGTATTTAATCTTAAAAAAGAAAACAAGAAAGAATAATCAAGTTACCAGGAACCCTTCTGGACACTGTAGATTTGGCTAATGTTATTCCAAATAACCCTTGACTATGTCGAAATGCATCAAGCTGTAAATCTATAGCTTCCTGCTCCTTTACATCTCTAACTAATCTTTGCAAGCAATTATAAAAACCATGTTTAATATCCGGGTGGGTTAAATGATCTGGGCTGTAATAGATTTGTGGATTTAGGTAGTAGGCAGCAGCATGCAAATCATGATGTAATTGTGGTTCCCACCTCCTATCTATAATATTCCAAATTGGTCTATATTGTAACTCATCATCATTTAAACTTTTTGCAATTTCTACCTTGGCTTTGTCCATTGCATTATATAAAAACCCCATTGCTGACTGTGCATTAGAATTTGCCATCCTCAATACCACAATCAATGGCTTAATGGTTTTCACAGCATAAGCTACAGATGCCCAAAACTGTTTGTCCCTTAGAATAATTGCTTTCACTGCCTTGCCTTTAGGTTTTTTTGCATAAGAACTTTGTGCCCACTTCTCTGATGTGAACATAGTCTTTAAAGCTTGCATTGAAGACAATAACCTTCTTAAAGTGAGAAATGCAGTAGCAAATTGGGTCATTGCTGGGCATATAAGATCTTTCTTTAGAATACTTCTCATCAATGCCAATACCCATCCATGGTTGTAGATAAAATTCAACACTCTTTTCGACTTTTTGAAAGCCATGTCATGCACAGGAAGTTCAAAAATATCCTCTAGCATCAACTCAATGCAATGAGTTACACATGGGGTCCAATACAAGTTCTTCCTCTTTTCCATCAGCATTTTACCAGCCTTTGCAAAATTAGTTGTACTATCTGTGATTATCTGTACAACATTTTCTTCTCCAACTTCATCAACAAGTTCATCAAGAAGTTTACACAATAAGTTTGCATCTTCCACAGATTCAGATGCATCTACACTCTTCAAAAACCAAGTCCCTTTAGGACAATTAACCAAGATATTAATTAAACTCTGCCCTAGAGTGTCTTTCCACCCATCCAGAATAATTGAGCACCCATATTGATCCCATGTCTTCTTAGACTCAACCAACATATTATTTACTGTTTCAACCTCTTCTTTCAAAATCCAAGTAGATAGTTCATGCATATCAGGAAGCTTCATTCCTTTTCCGCATCTGCCAAGGATATCTAAAAAAGCCTGAAAACTAGGACTGTTGCAAACAGTCAATGGCACACCATTTTCGAAAAAAAACCTCCCAATGCTTTGACAAACCCTATCTCTTTCTTCCTTCCGAACAGCATTCAATGTGGTATGTTTTTCACACTGTTTACTGACATTATGACCAGAAACTACAAATTGGTCCATAGGGCCCCTCACCCCCTTTGAAGTAGAGCTTGCATCACTAGACCCTTCTACTGGTGTTCGTACAACTTGACATGCATCACCAATGGATTCTCTATGACAATCCCCTATTCCATAAACTTCTATTTCTTGGACATCTCTTTTTTTCTTCTCCTTAAATTTGTCCAAGTATTCTTTCATTTCTTGTATCACTTCCATGGGGGCATACTTGCATGGGGCCACATTGCGACGAGTTCCTGCAAGATGTTCTTTCATTCTTTTCACGCCACCTGAAATTTGTTTCTCACAAAAGTTGCATTTTAGATACACATATGTTTTATCATTTTTTATTGGTTCTTCCATTTCTGTCCCATACTTCCACGCTGGATCTCTCCTATTTACACCCCTTCTTTTGCCTCTCCTTTGCATTTTTGCAAAACTTCAAGAAGCTATTATAACTGCAATAAAGATCAAAGAAAAAAATATAAATTATGGGATTTACATGGTGGTGTAAATCCAGTGTATAATCTATCCATCTACATTATACCACAAGTTTACAACCATCATTGCAGGTTGGTATGAAAACTACCAAATTAATCTCAATAAGGACATTGGCTGTACGCAAAGAGGAGACTAATATACACATTAAACAGAATTCTGTGTTTTGTACACATAAGTTCAACGAAGCAAAATTGAATGCATAGTAAATTGTCAAGAGGGTTCCCCCGTTCTGCTTTCAAAGAAAATTTGCAGAATCAAATGAGGAAGAGAAAGAGAGGGCCATGTGACAAGAACAGGGGCAAGCACGCCCCTGTAGATCAACCAGAATGAGTCAGACGACCATATAAACTCCTCTGTATCTCTGTAGATAATCTATAGCTGAGCTTGAGAGGAAGATGACCATTTAACCCTTTACAATTTCTATTTTCAATTTACTAAAAAATTACTAGTTTGATCATAATATTCCGACAGCACCACCATGCATGAAGCACTGAAGCATTTCATCAAACAGAAAAATGACAATGTAGAACAAGAAGCGCAGACAACAATCAAAACGCCCTTACCTGATAAAGAAAGCAAAGAGAACTCCACCTCTACATGCCTTCACCAAACAACACAAAAATCTGCTAGGTGACAACAAAAAAAATGGTAAAGATTGTAAACCGCAACTACAAAATATCCGATAATGGCTGACGAAAAGTTAGAAGGAAAGAGACTGGCAAATAAAAACCAAAAACCTTACGGCTACTTACTCGATGCAATAATCATGACCATGTGCTGTCAAACCCGGAGAATCGGTTTCGAGCAGGTCTTCTGACTGATCAGAAGCTCAGAATGCAGTGGATTCCACCAATTTTTACCTCTATTCTCATTTGCCTGTTAGATTTCCCCCAGAAAAATGCACAAGATTAGTTCTATAACTCTCAATGCACAGCCACAACCTCAAATCCCCCGCCATGATCCTCCGGGAAGGACAAAGGCGAAAACTTGGGTTCTGGGCCTCCGGCGTCGCTTAGCCCATAACCGATCAGGGCCCACATGTGTCTTGTATTAGGATGATGGGACCCAACATTCAACATATCCCACGTTAATATGCAAAAATAAATAAATAAGCAAAAAAAAAAAATCAGCTTACGTGAAACTAGGTTCCTTTTCCCATTTTTAGGATTTGAGTTCACCGTTCGCTTTTCGATAATTATTTATTAAAGGCTAAATTTCTTAGACTAAACTATCCTAATGGTTTAAGTTAATTGATTAACTCTATTCTTATTATTTATATATTGTCTTAAAGTATCATATTATTTTTGATAATTAACATTGTTAAAAATTTGAAGAATAGTCGTGTAATTTATGATGACAATACCACCACCACCTTCTCTACCACTGGTGACAATGCTGCGCTAAATTCAACCCAGTTGCAATCACCAGAAACAGGTCTTTTGAATCATGAAATGTATAATGAAAAGGGTAATATTGGATTAAAAAAAAATTATAGGTCACGTGATGTCACATACACATGAATTGTGATGGAATATTAACGGACACTAATGCTATGGGTAGAATTAGTCAATTGCTAGAAAATTTAAGAATACTCTAAGATAATATGTAAACAGTAAGGATAGAATTAGTCAATTAGTTAAACCATAAGAGTAGTTTAAGAAATTTGTCTTTTATTAAATTAGAAGAACTTAGGAAAATAAATTTTTTTTTACCCCACATAAGTCTCAATATGAATTTTTTATTTAATGAAAATCAAAATCCTATTGACCAATTTTCTCCCTTTTCAAAATCCAAAAAATCACCTCCTAAATTTGACTATAATTTTAGGAAAACAAATTTTACTTTTTACAACTTGAATGTTCAAGAATACAACTAGCACTTGAAACATCCACTCACCTTACCATGGAGAGCCTGCAGTTGCATGGATTTTGTTTCGTGTTTTTATATTTGAACATAAGGGTACAACTAGAAGTGTAAGTTAGGTTGGCTTGAATTAACAGCTTACATTGTTTTGGGCTTAAGCTTCGGGTTGGGCTGATTAAAATTTTAAAACAAACCCAACCCTAACTTGCAAAAATTGCACCCTTAGGCTCCGTTTTGAAAAGAATACAAATGCAAATATGCAGTGCAAAACCTTTTATTTTGTCTGTATTTGCACTGTATAAATTTGAATTTATACTTTTTTCAAACTGACCCTTAAGTACAATTCGAATTGGCCTGAACTAACATTTTATACTGTTTTAAGCTTTCGATTAGATCCATTCAAATTTTGACAAAAATCTAACAAGAGCCTGCCCAAGTTAGACCCCGATTTGGAGGGATGCCAAGTATCATATCATATACTTGATTATAGCGACATAGAAGAATGCCAAAGGTTTGATTCGACAGAGATTACAAACTTCCATGAATAATAATTGTAATAAATCACTCAAAAGCAAAATGAGATAAAAACAAAGGAATAAAAAAGATGTCAGGGTCGCTTCTTCCAATAAATTTAAAAAAAAAAAAAAAAAAAACTCAAAGACAAATGCAATACTCTTGGACCTCTTCCTGCAGAGAGGTTTTTTTTTTCTTTTGTTAAACATGAATTTCCACCTTTCAAGGAGCCAGAAAAAAATTGAGATATAACCAATCATACAAAACATTTGAAAATATTGTCAAGCTCATTGGATTCTCACTGGAGCCAATTTCTCAATCCTTAGATTGAACCCAGAAGCTTTCAAAGTCGGTCCTTGGTTGAAAGCTCCTTAATGACTGAAGATAAATTTGGGTTGATTACTAAGCTCCTGAACACCCAACTTTTGGTACATTTGTGACGATGCCATTGCTAAGATCTTCAACATAAATCCACACAATATTGCAACATAAATCAGGAATCCTATACACATCGGGTGTTGATATCACTACTGTCACATTTGGATTTTCGCTCTCGATTATGGACTTTGCTTCTTCTGCTTCCATCCCTATAAGCTCTGGCCATGACTGTTTCCCTGCAAATTTTGAAAAATAAAATGTTAATTTTAGTTTTTTTTGTACCGCTGAGGGGTCATGTGGCCCTTAATCCTAGATATTACAGTTTATCAATGGGTCGCCCACTAGTAACTTGGACTCTAACCCAACCCAAAAGGTAAATTGGGCTCTTATTTTTCAACCCCGACCATAACTTAAAGCTTCAATCCAACCCAACTCAACTAAACTGACCTTTTAGTTGGGGATTAGTCCAATAAGTGGGATCAAGAGAGAGAAATCATGAAACACCACTGAAAACAAGACTGGATTAGCTGAATGACATGGCTGTATAACCAATGAGAAAGCTCCACATCATCCATCAAGTGGTAGACCCCACAACCACTTTAATCTTGACACGCATGACAAGGCATGGGGGCAATGTACAACCATCACATTCAGCCAATACAGAACTGCTGAAAACTGTGCTGAATCAGGTAGTCCAATGGGTCCACTGTTGCATTTTTAGAGGGTGAAGACACTCATTGGATGAATGGATCCCACTAAAAAAGAGAGACTATCTCATAACCCACACCCCAGAATGTGTACACCAGCTTTGCAGCCTTGTAAATACAACTAAACCTTTTCTTTTCTCTGTCCCAGAAGCCAAAAAAATGCAGCTCTACAAGAGACCAAAGGCAACTTTTCTTCTTCCAATATCATTGATTATGGCCCAGCTAATCTAATGGGACCCATTTAATGTGGGTGACAACCTTGATAAGATACATATACGGCGAAGATTATCTTATATGATCTCCAAGGGTCATGGGATTGATGATACTTGGTGAGAACTGAGAGGGATCAAACATTCCACAGAATGTTAGGTGTAGTAAGCTAAAGCCTGGATCCTGGGATATGGTTTACCGACACTCGGTGTAACCTTTTATTGGAACAGTTTTAGGACCCTGAGGCCTGAGACACAGTCGCAGAGACCAATCAGTCTTGGTCTCTTACATTGGTAAGAGCCCCAAAATGGGTGATCCCAAGTGCAGCGCTGTGGCGCCTATGGTCTATAGGTAGAGCTGAGCAGCACAATCGTCAATGGTTTAACGAACGAAAGAGAAGAGAGGAGAGAAAGAGAGGAAATATGTAATCAAAAGAGAAGCAAGTTTTGAAAACGTTACCCGGACAGCAAATAATGTCACTGCAGCCCAGATTGTCGCAGGGAGGAAGAGGACTGGGAATTGTGCCCATCTCTCTCTCTCTCTCTCTCTGTCTGCGTGAGACTGGCTGGATGTAGTTGGTATGAGGGCCACAGAGAGAGTCACGGACAAATATATATAGATGGGTTGGGTCCACATGTGGCTTCGAATTACTTCCATGGAAATTGAGACGTTCTGGCAAGTGTCCCCCTTATCCCTGTTTTGGGGTCTCATCAGGACCCCATTTTATGATTCATTATTAATCTACAAACTCCTTTTTCCTGTGTTCTGTACTCTGTACACACGGACGTCGTTACTTTTGAATCTTTTTTAATTATTTTATAAAAAAATGGTTCCCGGGATTTCTTCCATGGATGGGCCAGGAACAGGATCTTCCAATCATCTAACAACTAAAATGCTGCTTTTTTTTTTTTTACGGAAAATTAGTGAGAAAGAAAATCCTTCAAGGTTTTCCTAAAATATTTGAAGGGTGTTCATCAGAAATTATGAACCCAGGCCATCACAAACAATTTTTTTTTTTTAACTATCCCCTTAGTACAGTTAAGAAACTATAGATTTAGCTAAATTATGCATGGATCTGATTCCAAAGCCAGATTTTGGTTGCACAGTGCAGACTGTTAGCAATTTGGAGCATAAATTTGAGACTATCCCCAACCCACCCAATGGAGACTGTGTCTTAGCTTGGAACACGGATTAATAGGGATGTTAAATCGAGACAGGGACCACCCCACTCCAATCTATCGGGTGAAAATCTCATATCCGTCAGAGATCAGGGATGGAGGTTAACTTTTCTCTGATGGAGATCAAAGACGGGGACAAATGCTAACTTAAGGTTGTGTTTGGTTTGAAGGAAAAAGTAGAGAAAGAAAAGGTAAGATAAAACCATATAAATGAAAATGCGCTGATTCTTCTCTTTCACTTGACTACAACCAATAGTTCTAACGTCACTCTCCAAGATAATTCCTCACTATCAAAAGAAATTTTTTGCAAGAGACAATTCAAGAGGCCATAAGCATGATTCTTGGATAATAATTAATAAAACTGTGTTTTGTAACTTTAAGCATATCTATATTGGTCCACGTTCCATATCTATTAGTTATGGGCTGGACAACTAATTTCAAAGTAGACACCCAAGTTGGATAATTATCGAAGCATAGACAACAAGGGCTTTGAATAGGCCTGGGCCTCCAAAAAATTCAATAACAAAAGAATAAATTCATTTTATCTTTCAACAAATGGGTCCAAAAGTGAGAAGTGGTTGAATTCTATTTTTAACTAACTTTTATACGAGATACCTTGTTAAGGCAACAACTTGGCCTTAAGAATTTTGGGTTCCTGGACTTGGGTCCAGAAGATTTGGATTTAAGATAAATTTGGGTTGGGCTTGGGTTGAGGACAACCTTGGCATAAAAAGCAGAAAAGCTTATTACCTTTATGATCCAGGCTTAGTATGTGTTGGGTTTAGCATGGATTGGACTGACATCAGGCATGGACCTAAGATCAGGATGGTATTGGGCTTATGATACAGGTGAGGTGATAGAAGTTGGCTTTACATTAACCTAAAAGAATACGTCCTTTTCTCCTCTAAAGCAATAACATTTATGTGGAAGGTGCCAACTGGCTTGGTTTTGTAGTGGAAATTTGGGATCAAATCCCACTATCTCCACAATAGAGGGTCATTCAAACTGTTTACATTTTATCCACCAAGCAATCTTCTGATGTTTTCACCAAGCTCCTTTGAGCACTTCATCACTTCCTTCACATCATCCACAAGTTGGGTGTCATTACTCATTAGCATTCACACTCTAACTTGAGGTGGAAAATTAGATACAATTAGAGACCCACATGTATCTACAAGTAATGCATTTAGTTGTATATCTTCATACATTTATAAATCTTTTTCTTTCGGTATATATGTATGAAATGTGGTAATTAATGTACATTGAAACTCATTCATCCATCTCCAATTTATTAATCTCTAGCAAATTTTAAAATATTATGGTAGGGTTTTTGTAATAGAAGTGGGAGTTCTCTAGTGCAGAGGTTTTTTTTTTATTTTTTTTGGCTCCATTGGGCTACACAACAAGGGGATGGCCCTGTCCCCAAACCCAAAACCTCGAGCAAATAGGTAAGTTTTATTGTCCAATTAATTTGACCCAAAACGGAGTAAATTGGGTTTAAATCAATTTAGTTCAATATAGACCATTCACTCCCCCTTGGAAGATTCCTTTAGCAGATTTTATTACAATTAAATTTGCTAAGCTCCAAATCTGTTGATAGAGGGGATGCCTCCTATTGTGTTCCCCTATTACTAAAATTTCTTAAGTGAATGCTTTAATCATAGGGAATTTGAACCACCTAGCTTGGAATCTGGTCAAACCACTTTTGCACAATTAAATTAAGATATCGATGAGTTTATAACACACAACTTAACAGAGGTTCTATATATTAATTAAAAAGTGCCAACTCCACTTGAATTAACTTTCTTGTATTGGATAACCTATATTCTGAAATAAACTTATCTTAGTTTGTCCAAGCGTCTTCTGTGTGCAATGCAAGTATATCCAATTGAATCACAACAAATGTAAGCAATGAAGAGAAGAGAATAATAGACACCAGATTTATAGTGATTTAGCCAATCACAAGCCTACATCTACTCCCCAAACTAGCATAGTTTAGGAATTTGAATATTTAATCATCCCAACTAGTTTAAAATTACTAGTCAATCCTTATGATGATTAGGTGATAGCAATATTTTCGAACCGCCGTTGATCTGGATGGTTGGATCATTCTGCCTGAGAATCGTTCAGGTAACCTGTTCTGTTTTATCCCAAATTTGGTTTTTGGCTAAAAACAGTTAAAAAAGTCAATAATTCGTTGATCTGGGCGGTCGAATCGTCGACTCGTTTAATGGTTTTTAATCTTTGTTTATTTTTTAATTTATTTGTCAGAATGGGCATCCATTCAAACCGAACGATTGGACCGTTGACCCGGAAACTAGTGGCCAAAATGATATCATTTCTAGGTCGTTTTTTAAAATGTTGGGTGCTGATAGTTGATACCAATGTTTTCAAACCACCGTTGACCCGGATGGTTGGACCGTTCGGCCCGGGAACCTTCCAGGCAACTGGTTCCGTTTTACCTCAAACCCGAAATCTGGTAAAAAACCATTGAAAAAGTCAACAACTATTGACCCAGGAAGTCAAACCATTGACCTGTCAACTCATTCAACGATTTTTTATCATTTTTTTATTTTTTTTTTTATTTTTTTAGTTTTGCTATCAGAATGGGCCGTCCATTCGAACTGAACGATTAAACCATTGACCCAAAAACTGATAACAGTTCCATTTCCGGGTCATTTTTTAAAACGTTCATTGATACAACGCTAATCACACACCAGCTAGTTGATACGCATGCATGCCAATCCACTCCAACTAGTTGATACAGTGTCAGCCTCACGCAACTAGCTTATACGATGCAAGCCAGACCCTAGTTAATTGATATGGTGTTAGTCACACCCCTGGTTGATTGATACAGTGCTGGCCACACTCAAACTAGTTGAATATGGTGCCAATCCACCCAACGAGTAGTTCAAAGGACTTGGGGATTATAACTTGATACCACTTGATGAAATGAAGAGAGGTAGAAAAAGCTGTGCAAATTCAAGCACCAAACTATGCAAATCTTTCACTTGAACAAAGCTTTTAATTAATCTAACTATAAGACTTCAAATCTTGTCTTGTGTTTTAATCCAAACTTTGAAGGATTTAAAAACAATAGCAACTTATAAGTTCAGTCCTTCAAGTTGGCTTGAGGAGTTGAGGATCAAACCAAGTTTAAGCACTGATAGACAGTAAACTCCTTAACCGAATATATAATAATCCTTCCGAATGTTCATGAAAAGTTCACAGAGTATTTTCAATTCAAACACTCAATAGACCTCAGTAAACATTTCAGTGAATACCCAGTAGAGTTCAAGAATATTATTGCAATTGATTTACTAAATGTATCTTTGAAAGATTTCCAAAGAATTCACCAATAAGCACATGGTTTGCTAACTCAAGACTTAGAACCTCTCATTGAGCCAATAAACCGGTAACATGGTTTTGAAAACTGGACTGGACCGGTTGATCCGGAAATCGGTCAGGCAATCGGTTCCATTTCACCCTAAAATCATTTATGTGCTAAAAATCATTGATTTTGCTAGCGATCCATTGACCCATACAGTTGAACCATCGACTCGTCAACTCTAACAATATTTTTTGGCTATTTTTATTTTAATTAATTAATTATTTTTTATTTTTAAATTAAAATGGGCCATCCATTCAAACCGAATGGTCAGACTGTCTGGCCCAAAAACGGGCCATCCAGTCCAATTTTTAAAACCTTGACCGGTAAACCTCTTGTCTTGAAAGAAAAACTAATTTTTAAAAATATCCAAATGTTTTTATCTTGAAATGTACTGTGCTTTAATCGAGCTTTTACAAACTCTTATATTTATGGTTGCATTTTAGAAAACCTAAGCTCAATCAGTTTACAGATTTCTAGTGAACAACAAATTAGATACAAAAACTGTAAATTGATTGAGCTTAGATTTTCTAGAAAGCAACCACATATTTAAAGTTTGTAAAATCTCGGTTAAACATAGTATATTTCAAGATAAAAATATTCTAAATGATACCACAATTAAGTTAAAGATTCTCATAACATATCTTCAAAGTAAAGAAATAAACCCGTTAAAATAAATGAGAGAGAATCCTTCAAAGGCTAAAGAAAACAAATATATCTTCATTGCCTATTTGCCGTTCTGCATTCGGCCTTGGACCTAGAGAGAGATGGGAGATTGATTGAGACTTGAGAGGGAGCAGAGATGGAGAGGAGCATTGCTAGGGTTTCAACTTTCAAGACTAAAGTGGTGTTTGATAACACTTTTTAGACCTCTAAAATCTGAAATATTTGCTTTTCAGATGCAATGCTTGTTTGATGTTGTATTTAAAATATGATCTGAAAAGTTTTTTTAAATCTAAAATTGTAAGACCCAAGTCCATCATTTAACGCACTCAAACATATTTAAGATGTGGCATAAAGTCAAAAATACCCTCACCTTTCGATCTCTCTCTCTCTCTATGTGATTTGAGTTCAGCTAGAGATTGCTACTTTTCGAAACGAATCATTGGGAATAAGGAGAGAAAGGGAGAATCAAAAACTCATTTCAATGTGTTATTTTAGGGATTCCGCCATTAAGATCCTGCAACGTTCGTCCTAGTTCTTGAGAACGAGAAAATGGTTGAACTTTCTAATGATGCTAATTAATACGTTTACTCTGCTCCTGCTGGTGCTTTTTAGGGAATGGAAGCAAAGCATTTCGTCTATGGAGAAATCATCCAAGGAAGAAAAGCAAGAAATTAGCATGAAGGTTCCGGTCTTGAGAGTTCCAGAAGCGATGGTTCCTTGGATGAGTACTTTGTCAGTGTCAAGGGATTAATTATAAATTATTTTAATTTTTATTAAGTATTAATTATTTTAACTTTTTTTACTAAGCATTAATTATTTTTATTAATTTTACTTGTGTTATTTATTAATTATTAAATATTTTTATTAATTAGTATTAATAAATTAGTATTTTAATTTTTATTAAGTATTAATTATTTTAATATTTTTATTAAACATTAATTATTTTTTATTAGTTTTACTTATGTTATTTATTAATTATTTTTACTAGTTAGTAATTTTTAATTATTTCATTAATTTTTAAAAATTATTTTAATTTTTATTTGTGTAAATTATTAATTATTAATTATTAATTATTTTAATATTTTTATAGTCATTAATTATTTTTTTTAACTTTAATCATTTCATTTATTAATTAATAATATATTAATTATTAATTTATTATTTTTATTTATATTGTTTCAATATTATTTTGATGTTGAAAATGATTTTTTTATGAGATAATGTGAATTAAATTCAACATTTTCAAATAATACGCTTTAGGGGTAAAATAGTAAAATCCATGAATTTTAGATGATAAATGGTTGATCCAACACAAACAAACTTATTGATTTAGAGCCTCTAAAAGTAAAAAAATACTTATACTTCGTTTTAGATTTTAGCAAATAACATCCTTTTAACTTTTCATATTTCAGTTTTTAGATTTATCAAACGCCACCTAAAAGTCGAAACTCTTAAAGAACAAGCCAAAAGAAGCACTAGCCACTAGGTGGTTGATTGTAGAAAGTTAAAATATTAACTTTAAAATATTATAATATATATAGGTCAGTTCACAGAACCTTACATTGAAAATATCTCCATACTTATGTGCTTTATTTCATGAAGACATTTACTCAATCAAATTAATTCGTTAAGCAAGAAAATTAATTGATGCATTATTAATAAGGATAAATCTCTTAAACTATCCCGTTCACAAAATTGACAAACTGTATTTACTGTTTAGATTTGCGGTACCCTTACGTGACAATAAGGAAATCTCGAATTTATCCTCCACTATTCCTCAAATTTCATCCCCTATTTCACCATCCGCCTCTACTCTCTCTCCATACCTCCCCCTCCGCGTCTGGTTTCTCCCCCTCCGCCTCTGGTCTCTCTCTCCTTCTTTCTCCGTTCTCAGACCTCCCTTCCACCTCTGAAACAATTATGGGGATCCTTGTCGATCGAGCTGCAATGAATAATCCCCAATGTCGGATCGTCCGGGACTTTAAAGATCATCCTCACGTTGCTTTCTAGCACTGATTTGGTGGGATCGTCGGCGATGATGAAACAGGGGCGACAGCCACCGACGAAGGGTTCCCTCCCTCTCTTTCTCCCCTTTGTTCTCTTCCCCTATTCCCTCTCGCCCCTGTTTCATCACCGCTGCCGCGGCGGCATTGATGAAATAGGTGCGAGAGAGAATGGGGAGAGAGAAAACAAAGGGAACGAAGGGGACAAAGGGGAGAGAGAGAGAACGAAGGGGAGAGGGAGGGAGCCCTTTGCGGTGGCTGCCATCGCCTGCGACGGCTGTGCCGAGAGGGAGAGAGAACGAAGGGCTCGTCGCAAGCACAGCTATCATTCTCCCTCCCTCTCAGCACAACCGTCGCAGGCAACGGCAACCACCGGCAAGGCTCAAACTATGCCACCCACTCCTTGGACTCTTCTTCCTCCGTGAAAATAACTGATTCAATTCGACCGTTCATTGATGGCGGGGTCCCTTCGCCACCCGAAAGCCCTTTTAATCTGTTTTCCATCTCTTTCCCCATATTCTCGGCGCTGAGCTCGAGCTAAAAGTTCCCGTCCGACGGTACGAGCAGTGAAATTTCTCTGATACTGAGGCCGCATCGGACTCAGCGTAGTTCTGGTGGTGATGATTTCCCGACGATCCTGAACATGGCTTGCAATGTCGGTAAGCTCTCGAGGCCTTCAAAGCCAACTCTGTTACAAACCCTAAGTCTAGTTGGAATTTATTATGATAGAAAACTAGAAAAGAAACCCTAGCTTGCTTTACCTGGGCAGTGAGAGCTTTAATAGCTTGCTTAGTACTTGGCGTGCCAGTGGTGTCCTCGTCTTTTGGTTCGTGAAGCGATCCACCGCTGAGCTACTTCAAACAAGCGATGCACGGCAGCATTTTGTGTCTCACTGATTGTTATCAATCGGATCTTTGCCGTAAACAGGGAACCCAAAACAAATATTTTGGAAGGGTGACTGGGATCTTCCTGTGGTAGCGGTGGAAGCACAGTTTAATGTTGGTGGCGGTGCTTTGTTTTCAAACAAGCTAATTACAAAGACCAACAAGGGAAAGAAGAAGAAGATAGAGGGATAAGTGGAGAGAAAGAGAGATGATAAGGATGGTCGAAGCAAGTTGTAACGATGAGGGGGAGAAAGGGTCCTTTGAATCCGTCCGTATAAACAAAAATGAAAGGGGGAAAAAGAAGAAAGGCACGGAAATGCGAAGATTCCAATTTTCTCGAGGCATAGGAAATCCAGACCGGTGTTTAGATCTGCTGTGGTGAATGAGTCATCAAATTTTTGCCGTTCGGAAGTTGCAGTGGCGACTGCCCCTTGCGACAACAATACAAAAATCACGCTACCATTGCAACTTTCAACAGCGGCTGTGAACAATAAAGATATTTTAAGAATTTTAAAATAATTACCATTAAGGTGATATCACATGCGGAGTGTGATGGAAAATTAATGATAAAATAGGTTTTAGCCCGTTGTCAGTTAAGAATACTACAAGACAATATCTAATTAGGAAGGGTATAGTTTGTTAATTTCGTAAATGGTAGGAATAGTTCAAGAGATTTATCCTATTAATAAATATATTGATATTTAATTTATTTTTCTACTTTAATCAATTAAAAATTAATATTTTATTAATTAAATTATAAAATTATAATATTTTATTAATAATGTATCAATCAATTTAGTTCTCTATACTTTAAAATATTATAATTTATCTTTGTACTTTAATCCTTAGTTGGAAGACATTAAAGAAGGAAATTTGACGTTTGAGATCTCAAAAAATCAATTTACAACTGTTAGGATGTTTCCCACGACCCACTGCTGAAACGCAACTATCATCTAGTCCCAAAGAATGTTGAAACGCGGAATAGAGATGTTTATTTAATTTAATTCTGAAAACTCCAACCGTTCAATTTTGCTTCATGCACTATTGTTCTATGATGGAGGTGCAGAAATATTGTGGAAGGGAGAGACTTCACCCCTTCGATCGATGCTATTTTAAGTGCTAATGCGGCCCAAATTCATGAATTAAAATCCTTCATGACTCATCAACTGTTAGTGGTGCCAATTTTATTATATATGATAGTCATTGTTCCTCAATGGACCCCCCGCCAACTCTCTCTCTCTCTTTATGAACCTCAACTTCTTGTGTTACTTGAAGTTTTCATCAGAATAATACATCGATGCTGTTGGATTGTGTTCAGACTTCAATTTTCTAGTTGATCCAATTAGTTTATTAGTATTTTTCTTTATGGTTGCTCTTCTATGGCCAACAAAATTGACTTTCTACGTATTTTCACAATTAATAATTTTAAAGAAAAAGAAGGAAAGAAAGAGAACAAACAGAAACAAAAAAAAAGTCAACTTCCAAATTGTCCTCAAGAAATGTTCTTGGAAATTGCAACTCTGTTAGTGGGAGGAAGACCTTCTAGAGATTAAAAAAAATGTATAAATGATGATAATTGTATAGCGTTCCAAGAAGGAGAGAAATCTGTGTTTCCTCTCTCTGGTCCGGCGGAGGATGAACAGAAATTCGACATGGTGGTGTTCCTTCTTCAGTGGTGTGTCGTCGTTAGCTGCAGGCAAGATCCACCAACTCTTGTGCGTTTGTAGCGAAGATTATAGATCAGGTAATAATTAAGCTTACTTTATGTATTTCGTAGTAATTAACAAAAGATGGTGAACGAAATTTATTCAAAATTAATTGGCAGGTGATCAATCCCAAATTTTGAGCTATAAATGTATTGATATCTAGTATATATCTACATTCACCGATTGGATTGTTTTCCTTCTAATGTAGCAACTTTCAATATTATTTTGACTCTGTTTGCATTGCAATTCTGAGCCCCATATATGATTAATTTTTTATTTTTATTCTTTTGATCTCATGCACATTGCTTCATCAGATTTTTGTAAATCATGATTTGCAAGTTTTTCAAAGTCTAAAGGCATACTTGAGACGCAATGGTCCAAAAAGGTGGAGTGTAAGTTTCAATGCGTAAGCCTCGGACAAAGCTTATGGATAAAATTAATTAAAGTTTATTGCTTGATAAAAATAACATAATATTATACTAATTAGTTAGAATGGTAGATGGTGTAAATATCCATAAAATAAAAGTTTATAAAGCACAAAGTTTCAATGTTTAAGCATTAAATAATGCAATAACTAATCAACTAACAATTATAAACATTTTTCTTTTTCATCAATAAATTCTACAAATTTAATCTATATTCAATATTTTTAATAATGTAAAATACATGTTCAAAACCAACATAAAAAAATAAGGGCAAATTTGTTAATTTATTCTTTTTTGATTTAGCTAATTAACTAACTCTACCCTTAATGTTTGCATATTGTCTTAAAGTACCCTTAAGTTTTTCTAACAATTAACATTGTTGTTAAATATTAACAGAAAATGAAATATAGAATTTATCTTTCACTATTTTTTGAATTTTTAAAATAAAACCCAATTAATGAAAATTTTTAAAAACTGTAATTTGCTCTGTACTGCTGGGAAGTCACATTCAGTGGCCGTTTATCTACTTGTGGTGGCTTTTCAGAGGTTGGGGATACTGTTAGTGTAGATCTGAATGGGCTGCCCCGTCTGATTTGTGTTCGGGTTAGGGAAAGGAGCCTCCACCGATCCCACTAAACAAGATTTCAGAAGAGTCTTCCGTCGCACCTCCCCTTTCCCGTTGGCTTCCGCAAAGAAATTTCTCTTTCCTGCCTTCAGCACGGCCTCCCCTTCTTTTGCCCACTCTAATCCTTTTGCCTTGTCCACATAACAGCGCAGTCCCCCTTGTGCCATCCACTCTCCCTTTCTCCCTTTCTTTTGCATACACCATGGCCTTGGCTAAACGATTTTGGCCTAACCGACCTTGTTGCCTCCTCTGGTTTTCGAACTCTCTCTCCCAGCCTCTATAATCCCCAAAGAAAGGCACTCTCCCCCGATCAAACCATCTCATTTTTGTAAGACAGAAGAAGACTGGCTTTTAGATCAACGTGCTACGGTGAGGTTCACGAGTAATGGCATGGTCGACGGCCGACGACTAGCCAGATTTTTTTTGCTAATCTATATGATTGTACTTTGTACATACCCCTTGGAAACGATGGGGACACTGTTTCCAGTAGTCTGTACTAGTTTTGTCATCATCAATATTACAAGCAAACGAGCAAAGCTCGGGTGAATACGAGATCAGAAATTTAGGGATAGAAGAGAGTTTTTCCTGGCTCCAGCTCAAAAAGGAGAAAGAAACTAACCTGCTAGTAAAAATTTCCAAGAAAATCTACAAGTGGAAAGAAACCGCAAGAGGGTTCCAGGTGAAATGATAGTTGGAGAGAGATCTCCACAAATTTCTACCTTATGTTACAGGGTTAAAGCAACAACGCAGTTGTTAAGTTGTAGTAGTCCGTCTCGTCATTTAAAAAATTCAAGCCAGGCCTCAACACGAAGGTGTTGGAGCCGTTGTTCGTTGAACGGTTGAAGTATATATCGGCCGGTAACATACAAAGATGACAGATTCTCACTCTTTCTTCTCTTTTTCCAAAATTATTATGAAATTTAACCTCTTCGTCGAAGCATCATCAATATCACCGTCCGACGCAATACATGAAAAGAACTCACATGTATTGCAGACGGTTGAGTTGGCCCAGAGACCGGGAAACATTGCTGAAGAACCGATTATATGTCATATGTTGTCACATATGTACGATTTTGACGAAACATTAACAGACCCTAACAGTGGGGGTAAATCCAGTCAATTGTGGCTGGTTTAAGACAATAGTTAAACTTAAACAGTAAGATTACAATTTGTCAATTAAATAAATAATAGGGGTAGTTTAAGAAAATTTCTAAAAAAAATAATTAAACAAATTACCTTTTTGTTTGAGTCATAAGTAAATAGTTCAACCATCTCATCAAATGAGTTAAGCATTGTTCTAATAGTTAAATAATAAAAAAATTAATATATATATATATATAAATATTATAAAAATTATAAAATTTTGTGAAAAATTTTAGGCATATATCTAATATTATCTATTTATCATATCAAACAACAATAAACATGCTAAATAAAAGTATTTTTATTAGATGGAAACGAAATACAAGTTTTAAAATTGACCCAAAAATAGAACCATTTTCCTATTCAAGTGGTGGGTCAATGGTTCAACCTTTTAGGTCAAATGGATCAATCCATGATTTTATAAATAAATAACAAAAATTTTAATAAAGATAGAGAAACAAAAATTATTAAAAACATGGAAATTTTGTAAAAAAAATAGAGTGCATCTATAATATTATGTATTCATCATATTAAACAAAAATAACTGTAATTGATGGTCAATGGTCCATACGGAGGCAAATTAGGTGAGCTTAAACTTGTAATTTTAGATAGACTAGTTTCAATTTTTTATCCTCAACTTAGACGTAGGCCTGTGCTCGAAAGGTTGGATTTCTTTATTCTTTAGGTTGGGCCCAAGCCTAGTCCTTAGGTAACTAAAGTCAGGACTAGTTATATACATATAATCATAAATACATATATAGTACATATTTGCATACATACAAGTACATATAATTATAAACATACATTTTATGTCAAATTTTGTCATGGGGTTATAGAACCAAGTCCAAGACTAACTCAAGTGCATCAAATTTCAATGCAAGTTGGGACCAAATTGGATAAATCAGGCTTGACTTTGGTCTAAAAACTTTAGGTCCAATAGGTTGGGCCTAGGTTAAGTTTAAATTCAGCCCAATCTGCTTGACCTGCACCATAATGGTCTAATCGTTTTAGTAAATGGGTTAATCAATGATGTCATAATTAAATAATAAAAATTAAAAGAATAGATGGAAAGACACAAAATTAAAAAATACATAAAATTTATAGAAAATTTTGATACATCTAAGATATTATAAACTTATCATATCAAACAAAAGTAAGTGTGATAAGAAAGAGTTATTATTAGAATTAATTATGTAAATGTGTTCACATCTCTAATATTATATATTTATCATATTAAACAAAAATAAATATGACAAATAAGAAAGATTTTTATTAACAATGAAAATGAAATACAAAATCTAAATACACTATTGCACCATGTTTTGATTATTTATCCATTTTAAATGCTCTAATAAGGACATTGAAATTATTAATATTATTTGAAATTGCCATGTAGGTGCATATTTACTAATAATTAATTAAATTTCAATATAAAGATATAAATGGGCCTACATTTGTCCACGCTCCAAATCATAGACTTTGAGGCGCAGGGGCTCCTTAGAGAATAAAAACCTCTCACCTATCAGGTTAAATATATAGGTTGAATGGTACGTTAATGACCAAAATCTACAAGTACCTATAGATGCATTGTGACGAATTTTGTATTAGAATCTCTTATAATTCTGTTCAAATCAACCCCCCACAACGTCTCACAGCACATTCCCGCCATGTATTGGGAATATCTCCCAATGGTAATTTATGGGGAGATGTTCCCAATACACTTGAAGATGAGTTGTGGGAGTTGTTGGGAACAATCTTGTGGGAGGCTGATTTGATCTCCTTATAATTAATGGGTTTGAGTTGGGCTGTTTTAATTAATGCCAAGTATGCTTATGTTATTGATAGAAATAAGAGAGAAATAAACCAAAGGGGTTTTAGAGTATGGTCTACTTATCCTAATTAATTAATGCCCTCTTGCAGGGTCAAGAGTGCAGCCACCTTGTTTGAATTCTTGTGGCTGTGGTCTACATCCCAACTCAGGCAGACAGGCACAAGTCGAATTCATGTTGGCGTATTCTCTCCACCTTGTTTGACTTCTTGTCTGTTCTCTTTTCTTTTTAGAAGCTTGATATGAAGTTTTAATAAAAAGGCATGGGCTCATACCCTTAAAACATTTTCCATGGTGATGTACCATTTTTAGACAAAAATACAAAAAATTCTTAATAGAAGATTGATTAAGTAAATTGGTTGCAGATTATCAGGGTGTTTTAGTAAAACTATAAGCTAGCAGTTTTAGTAATTGACCCTAAATAAAAACACAGAAAACATATGTGGTTTTTGTTTCTAAAACCGAAACCAAAGTGCTCTAGGATTTATGGTTTGAAGAACGTGTGTTGTGATCCAGTAGTGATCTAATATAATTCAATACAAGTGTCGGTAATTCAAACTCTGTTTGTTTTGAAAACCATTATTTTGATAGTTTAAAAAACATGAATTATTTTTTTAATTGTTTTTGCTTCTCAAAACAAATTAAGATACTTGCAATTCAAAAACAAAACCATGATTCAATTAAAAATAAATGAAAACAAAAAACCTTCACCTTATGATGAAACAAGTCAATTACGTAGATCCTTAACGCCACTGAAAAGCAAATTGATGAATTTCATGATTGTAACAATAAATAATACAAGCTAGGAAGAGTTTTATGTATAATTCATATAAATGTAACCTAAACTGGACTAGACAGGGTCTGTATTTCAGGCACGGTAGCCAAGTAGAGCCAAGACGTACTGAGCCCATATCCCTTTATACAGAACTGTCATTGGCCCGGCTTAGTAGCGTGCAGGATGTTTATGATTAAACCTAGAATCTCGTTTCGAAGACTGAGAGGTGGTTCAAGTTCGGAGTTCAGAAACTTGAGCCCCAGAGACAGTGAAGGGGATAGTGAAAATAGCAACGAGGAGATTAATAGAGCGGGACGCCACCATGTTTCCATTGAAATTTGCGAAGATGGAAGCAGCACTACCCTGATCAACAACAAGCGTAAGAAAAGAAAACCCAGCAGAAATTCAGACAAGGCATTGTCAGATTCCATCGGAGGAAAGGTGAAGCTTACACCTCCAAGGTCGTCCGAGTGTTGTATCTACCGAGTACCCAAAGCACTCCGTGAGACTAAAGAAAGGGCCTACGTGCCTGAAATAGTCTCAATCGGTCCCTTCCATCGAGGCAACAGAAACCTACAAGCCATGGATGAGTACAAGAGGCTGTATCTGCATGATCTCCTCTCCCATTTGCCAACCCAGGCGAAAATGCTTGAGAGTTGGATCAAAACCCTGAGAGGGTTGGAAGTAAAAGCCCGCAAGTGCTATTCGGAGCCAGTTGACAACCTCTCAAGCGATGAATTTGTGGAAATGATGTTGGTTGATGGTTGCTTTGTGCTTGAGCTGCTTCGCAAGTATTCAGAAATACAACTAAAAGGAGGGCCGCCGGAACCGGTTCATAGTGGAGTTCTAGGAGCAGCACAGGACCAGGCGGCCGACGACAAGGCCCAGCCGCAGGACCCCATCTTTAAATCTGCTTGGATGCTACCCAGAATTCTATGCGATATGTTATTACTTGAAAACCAGCTTCCCTTGTTTGTACTCGAGTGTCTGTTCAAGTTGACCATTGCTCCTCAACTGCAACAAGCCTTATCCCTCAATGAACTTGTCTTCAACTTCTTCGCAAATATAATGCCAACGGGTGGAGAGTCCCCTGCAGATAGGCCTAGACTCATCAAAGGCCAGCATATTCTCAGCTTATTACGTAAAGCCATTCTTCCCTCGTCCAAATTGAAATTCCCAGGGGACATCAAAGCGCCGGAGTTAACTCACTGCGTGACAGAACTCATAGAGGCTGGAATCAAGTTCAAGAAGAAGGAAAAGCCTGATAGCTTCCTGGATATAAGCTTTAGTACTGATGGGGTTCTAGAGATCCCAAGTATCAATGTTCAGGAGTACACAGACTGCCTGTTCCGGAACCTGATTGCTTTTGAGCAGTGTCACCCTAGTTGCACCAGTCGCATCACGTCCTACGCCTTTCTCATGGATAGCCTCGTCGACACCCCAGAAGACGTCCAGTATCTGAATCGAAGAAGCATCATTACACATGTTATGGGCACTCACAAAGAAGTTTCCCTTCTTTTCAACAAGCTTTGTGATGGCGTTTACCTCAACCACTTCTATTACGTTGACCTCTGCGACCAAGTGAATGCCCATTTCAGAAGTCGGTGGCATGTGTGGCGAGCAACCTTGATGCGTGACTATTTCAAGAATCCATGGGCTGTTCTTTCATTCGTGGCTGCAATTTTTCTACTCATTCTCACCTTCACAGGGTCATTGTTCTCTATACTCTCTTTTTCGATTCACAATTCTTGATCCATAGCTCAGTGAGATTGGTCGAGTGGCCAGGTTCATAGCTCAATGAATCTGCTGGTTTAATTGCAGAACCTGCACGGACTCATCCGTTTGCCTTTATTCTTTCCGTATAGGCTCTGAGTTACAATGGTTGCTAAACCTACTTACCCGTTTTCAGTCCTTTCATATCTGTTTTAGAGTCAGTCAATGTTATTGCTCTTTTTGTTCTTTGTGGTGCCGTTGCTTTCTCCCCTCTGGTACACTAAAAGGGTCTGAGCTTTTCTGGTTTCCCTATATCAACGTTATCATTTAGTCCTTCTATCCCAATTCAATTCCCATCACCACAGATTGACTTCTAATTCTGTGAAAACTTGACGTGTATATATATTTGATCATGAAAGGAGTTAGGAAGCTGTGATTATAATGGGATGTACCTCAATTAAATGTTCTGGGGGTATCCTTTTTTTTTATTTTTATTTTATCTATAATGATCATCCATACTTTCTTTCCATTGAGTAGCAATTAATCCAATACAACCCCCTTAACTCTTTTTTTTGTTCAATTTCAATTGGAAATTTCATTGACAAAATGGCCCATGGCAATGGCGCTTCAGCTTCTCCATTTTCCTCAATATATATTCTCCTGATGATAATAGGCACCTGGCAATTTCTTTTTTTGCAGAGAAAAAAAAAAAGAAGATTTTTCCTGCACCGTCTTTAAACCTTCAAGGCTCAGATTTATAGCATTGGCATGCGTTTGACTCAACATGAACCCAACGAAATGAAATGGGATGACGAACCCAACCCGACCTGCCCAATGATGGTGCCATACCCAGCTAAGACCTCGCCCAGAACCTGAGTTGAAACCGGATTAAGATTGACCAAACCTGCCCTATGCTCAGAAAATATATTATTTTATTTAGGTAGAAAAGGTTATACATGTAAAATTAAACTTAAAAATGTCATTTTAAAAAGTGTGTAAATGAAAAAAAGTAAATATATAAATTAACTATGAAAGAAAAAAAAATGTCTCCGAAAATGTATAAAAAAATTAAATAAATTTAATTTATTGTATATAAGAAGAAATTAGGAAATATGCAAATTAAATAGTGGAATTATTTTATTTAGGTAAAAAGGTTATAACCAAGAAACTGTAAAAAAATGAAATTCCAAAAACAAAGGAGGGTACCTTGTTCGCACCTTCCCTTCCTTTTTAAAGAGTATTAACATATCGCAAAGATATAAGAGAGATTATAAGAGACAATCACAGTAGAAAGAAAGTGGGAATTTTTTTTACTCCATGGACCCAAATGAGCACATTGGTAAGGATGTGACAAATGATGAAATATGGGAGGCCCTGAAATAGATGGACTTAAAATTCAAGACTTTTTTTTTTTCACTCTAGTAAAATAACAAGAGAAATCAGTAAGACTTTATAGCTCTAATTCCAAAAGTTGAGAAACTAGAGGGAGTGGATAATTTCAAACCAATCAATTTATACAATGCCACCTATAAAATAATTATCAAAATATTGGTCAATAGGGTGAAACCATGTTTGAACAAAATTATATCCCCACTTCAAAGAAATTAACTTTGTTCCAAATAGACAAATCACTAATAATATTTTAATAGTTCATAAGCTTTTTTAACACAACAAAAAAAAGAAAAAAAAAAGGAAAAGGAGGGGTTTTAGCTTGCAAGATCGAAATGGAGAATACGTATGATAGACTTGAATGGAAATTTTTTTATTAAAAAGTTATGTTTTAATGCAAAATGAATCAACTGTATTATGCAGTGTCACAATTGTGTTATTTCAAGTGCTTGTTAATGGCTCTCCAACTAGAGTCTTTAAACCCAATGGGGGTAGGGTAGGGGGATGCCTTATCCCCACATTCCTCTGTTTTGTGTGGGGAAGCTTTAACCAGGTTGATGAGTGATAGATCAAAGAAAGTTAATTTAGGAATTGGTGCCTTGAGAGATGGACCAAAAATTCCTAATCTCCAATTTGCTGACAATTATATTGTATTTGCCAAAGCCATGATGGGTCTAAGAATTAAAGAAGTAATTGAAAAGTTTGCAAGGGCATCTGGATTATGTCCAAATCTTAGGAAATCTAATTTCTGTTGTTCAGAAAATACCCCGAAAAGGCACCAAAGGATTCTACCAAAAATACTTAATTTAGATTCCCCTCAATACAAGAATGGATACATATCTGGGAGCTCTAATTATAGAGAAAAGCATCAACAAGGCTACATTTAATAAAGTGGAAGAAAAAAATCATAAAAAAGCTTTGTATGATACCTCTATATTTAATGAGAGCCTTTAAGGTTCCCAAAGAAAACCTTGAATCCATTGATAGTGTGCGAAGGGATTTTTATGGGAAAAAAGAGAGAAAAAAAAAAAAAAAACTATCTATCTAATTGGATAGAGGACGTTGTGAAAATTGAAATCCAATGCTGAACGGGGACTTAAAAAATTGGAGTGGATGAATGCCTCATGCTTAGCTAAACTAGTATGAAAAATTCTCACGGATCCTGGTAACCTATGGGTTCAGATATAAGTGTCTAAAAGATTTGAATTTGTGGGAAATTAAAGCAAAGAAAGGAAGTTTTTGGGTCTGGAAAGGTAAATTAAGCCAAAGAGATCTGATAAAGAAAGGAGCCCACTGGATAGTGTGTAAGGGTAATGATACAAAGTAATGGAGTGACTCTTGCGTAGGTGAGCAACCCATTGAAAATCAAGTAACGAGGAAGGAGACGATAAATCGGAATATTAAAGTGAGGGATATCATGGAGACCTCCCGAAAAAATGGAATTGGAGCAAAATGGAATGAAAACGTGGAACAGAATTAGAATTATGATTTGGAACAGGAGGACAAAAATGATTTAGAGATCAGATTCAAAGGTAATTTTTCAATAAAATCAAGACCTGGCAATTGGGTTGGGTGGGTCGGGTTTGGGTTGGGTCAAGACACTTCTGTTTGATTTCGGGTCGGGTTGAATTTCGGGTTGGGTTATTAAATGCTAGACCCTAACCCCAAACGTTTGGGTTAGGGTTGACCCATGGGTCAATTCGGGTCATCCCAAAAAAATAACCGAAATTTAAAAAAAATAAAGAAAAACTACATGAAAAATGCAAGGAATTAACCTTAAAATTCCAAATATAAAATAAAATAACTTCAACATTTAACAATTTAAAGAGTAAATAATAAAGAGTAAAGACTAAGTAGAAAAAATTAAAAAGTGGAAACTTCTAACAATATATAAATAGTCCCAATTAGACTTGATAATCGGGTCAGCGGGTTGACCCATGACCCAACCCAACCCAATTTTTTTCGAATTGGGCCGGGTCGGGTCATTTTCACATTCAGATATCTAAATATGAGACCCTAACCCTGTTTTTTTGGATTGGATTGGGTTGGGTTGGGTCAACTTTTTGCCAAGTCTAGACATTCATTAGTGAATAGAATTCTAGGCCTATGGTGGAGGGTCTAAGTGTATGGAAGTAAAATGCCTTCCAATGATTAAATGCTTTATGTTCCTCCTCCTCCCGTTGAACAGACTCCCTTCAAGATGCTTACTAAGACAAGGAGGTGTAAATATAGAAGAGGAATGACCTACTTGTGGTGAAAATTGAAAAGACAGGGAGCATATCTTCTGGAAGTGTGAATATGCCAAACAAGTCTTGAGCTTATTATATTGGTCCAAATTAAGACCTGAGAGTGATGTGATCTAATATCGCATCCAAAACGAAGAACGTGACTGTTAGTGATATAGATCTCATTGTATTCATCTTGTGGAGAATCTGGAAAAGTAAAAATGTGTTTGGTAAATGATGGTGCGCAATCTGACTGCTCCTAACTGGAGGTGACTTGGCTTTCCGTAGACGACGGACGTGGAGATCTGCACGGAGAGAATCAGATAACCTGGGGGTGCTTACCCGGCGAGGTCGCTCCGATGCTTAAGTCAGTAATGTGCGAGCTGAGAGTAATTAGAATGCAAGGAAGCTAGTAAGCAATAGTTGCGCGTACCTCTGTCCCCGAAAGGTTGGGGACTTTATATACTAGAGTCCTCGCGAGTTATTCGGAGTGGTTCTGGGATTCTTGCCGTGATGAGGCCCGTTGCCGAATTAATAGGAGATAACGGCGCCAGCCGATAAGGCATATCGCTGCCGTCCGAATCAGTCGGAGTAGATAAGGCCAGCTATTACGAGGTGTGATCCCGTGAAACGTGGAATCCGGTGACGAGATCTTCGGGGTTATCACGTGGAGGTCGGTCAATAGTACCCGTGCTAATGCCCCTGGGTCCGATCTGGTACGAACGCCGAAGTGCCTAGTAACCGAATTGATCCTAACGCAGTCGTGCCCCGAAGTGAACCTGTCTCGAGGTGGATTTGCTTCCGAGGTGGGCTTGTCCCGAGGTGGTTCGGTTATCCAAGCTTGATCCGTTTCAAACTTGGATACGTCGGGATGAGTTGTTGTTCTGTCAGTTAGGTTGTGTCCACATGTCCCCCTATTACTAAGTCGGGCCAAATCACCCTACATCAGTAATATTGCACTCCCTCTGGCTATTGTGTTCAACAAAGCTCGAGATGATTGGAGAGAATATACAAAGGTAGGTATGATCAACAGGGCAGCAGTGTTGGAATAAAGTGGGTTCCCCACTCCCCAGGAAGCCATGTATTAAAATAAATTTCGATGCATCTAGAAAAAAATAAAAAATAAAAAAGATGGTATAGCGGCCATTGGATGCATAGCTAAAAATGAGCTGGGCCAAACTCTTAAGATCAAATGCAAACCAGTTGGCCAATGCCCTATAAATGTAGCTGAAGCTTGGGCTGCTCTTGAAACCCATTAAATTGAAAAATCTTTCTATTCGAGAACTATTATCATCAAAGAGATTCAAAGCTAGTAATAGAGTGCTCAAGGATCGCGATATCCTCCCTTGGAGCATAACTAACATCATTGAGGAATGTCATTCAATCTGTTGGAAATGAGTGCTGAATATTGAATGTCATTCAATTTGTTCGAAATGAATACTGAATATTGAATGTCGCATGTATTTAGGCTGAATTTGGAAAGAGTACAAATGAAAATATGTACTGTGCAAATACATACAAAATAATGTAAAATATAAGATTTTGCACTTTATATATTTGCATTTGTACTCCTTCCAAACTGAGCCTAGGGAAGCTAACCAAGCAACAGATGGCCAGCAGGTGTTGGCCATGATGGTGTGAGTTGGGAGTCTATGATTAGGAACAGGATTTTTTGTTCATTTGCTTATCTGATATTTGGGGGAGAACTACCCCGTGTTACGTAGTCCGTGTGTTTCCTTTATAATCAAAGGGAATTTTTTTTCCAAATTTCTCATCAGTAATATTTTAAACCTATAACTGAATCGTATTTCACTGGAGACCAGATTGGCCGTGTATTAGGAACATCTCCCCGTGACAAGTACGAGAGATGCTCCCAATGCACGCTGAGATGTGAATGTGGGGTGCTTGTGGGGCACCATCAGTGGGGAGAAATCTGATCTCATTTCACTTACCCTCCATACCATATTACCATTTCCATTTACTTTTCTTCCAAGCTTTCACCGTAAACCGAAAAACCACTCTTACAGGTTAAATCTGACCCACCACCGGCCTCATCACCATGGGAGGGGTGACTGCAGGTTCTACAAACAAAAGCTGGTTGTAGGTTGAGTATTCACCTTCTTGCTAATACGGCAATACTATATTCTTTGATTACTGGATTTGACAAAAAGAAGTAATATGTTGATTAATGAAATCAAGTTTAGGGGCAGTACACAAGGCTACAGGAGTGTTTGCTTTACTCATCATCAAAGGCCTCCGTCGCATTCACTTATCTTGCCGACTTAGAATAATGTAGACTTGTAGTCATAACATTTTTTTATTCTAGTCAAATTACTTTTATCCCTTCAATCTTTTCGTTATATTGCACATCAATTAAAGTGTGTTTCTCAACCTTTTAAACCTGTTAAAATTTACAAGAATAAAGGAAAAAGAAAAGAAAATAAAAGAAATAGGGTCAAATGGTTTAACTGGAGCATTCTTTACAGAAAAAAAAATAAAATAAAATAAAATTTAAGAGATACAAGTGGAGGTGGGAGATTTCATCAATTAGCGAACATCAGAATCAAACTACAACAGAAACAACAGAAAGATGAGCTTCCAACTTTTCACCACTTCCGGTGGCCATGATCCCCTATGCCTGCAATAGAGTTCCCCGGAGAGACAACACGCATCCATAATTCTATTAATCCACAGGCCTGTGCAATTGTTCTGCATGGCATATATACATCTACGTCAAGGTACCTAGCTTGCCTGACCATGAATTACGAATGCTTTCTCTCCCATTTTCCTTCACGTCTCCCATCTCGCTCCCTCCGCTCCATGATCTGCCTCGATTTGCTGCCTCGAGACCCATGTCTCTGACCAGGCCCAAATCCAGCTGATTGTCCATCAAAGGCGGATGCCAAATCTGGATCACCAACACTACCTGTGTCACCAGAGTCCTTACTTCCATCAAAAGTTTCATCGTAACTACTGCCACGGTCATCTAAACGATCTCGTGACTGTAGAATTGTTGGTAACTGTCCAGAAAATGGTCGTGACCCAGCCAGAACAACAGTTGGCATGGATGACACACTGGTAGAAGTTGCAGGTTGATTCTCACGGCCACTGCTGCTTGGCCTCATGCCACCTTCATTCCCTGATCTCCCATTTTCCCTTTCTCGATACCTCTCCCTAGGCCGACTACACATAGAAACGCCACAGGTGTTAACATGTTTCTGTAAAATCAATAAAATGCAGCCAAGACCATGTGGTTCGTGGCCACCAAAACATTCTTTACAATGGACAAAGCAAATTCATAGGAACATGACTTTTTGGTCCGAAGAAAGCTCATAAACCAATTAACCATAACGTATTGGTTAGATGAATTGAATTCTCAATTTGGGAGTTCAGGCTGAAGCAAGCTGACAGTGAAATGTTGGGGAATTAGGATTCTCCAATTTGTATGACTTTTGGGCTATTATGACACAGTAAAGGGGTGGCCCATCATATCAAGACAACTCTCCTCTATGCCAGATTGTCAGCCTTGCATGAATGTGTGGTCCAAAGGACAAATCTTATACCAATAGGAACAACAGATGTTATCATTGACAAACTTTTGGGATATTGAGCAACTTGTCTCAAGTTGCTTCAGCCTTTTAAGGATTACCATTGACAAATTACAATCCAAAATGATCAGAGGATAATACCTCTCTAATGGTGTCATTTTCTCTATCATGACACTAACATTTACTTCACACTCCTATCGTACTTCAGTTACTTGTCCCACAAATTCTTAACAATCTCTATGCATGAATATATGCTGTAGCAGGCAGAGTAGTAGTTGCATTATATTACCCCGGGTGAAACTCTATGTAAAACATATATTTACCAATATTGGACAACTTTTATATACACCACCATCCATGGAGTCTTAAGGCACACACATACAGACTCATGTATATATGGAAAATGATCCACAAATTTTCGGCATTAACCAGATGCTAAATAATGTGGTTGTCACTCATCAGGTCTGTAAGTTATCATTCTTCTAAAAGGTTGCCACATTAATTGAGTTGTCTGGTCCATAAACCACCTAGATGGTATGTTATGATGGGAAGCTAAGCCCTTAGCAAGCATCCAGTATGACTCCCTTAGTAAGACATGTCCTATTCAGTCTGATGTGAGAGCCCTCATTGAATGACCATTGTAGAAATAATTTAGAGTAGCTTAAGAGAATTTCTCACAAGGATTTAGTATGAGATAAATAAATTCGTTTTTTGATGAAATGTTGATAATTTCCAATATGAAGTAGTCACGAACAATTGCTTGTCTGGCCTACATGCTCTGGATCAAAAAAYGTTGACCCATCTCAGAGGAAAGCAGATGTAACATACCTACTGGTTGTGGAGGAAGAAAATTCCCGCCTTGAAGGTCGAATCCCAGACTCTGTCTGCTCTAGTTCTCGCTGAAGCTCTCTCTACAAGCAAGTAGATTTAATTTTTTTTGCAATTTTTCCATGAGTTCAATAATCAACATAATATAAAGCTAGTATGAGAAGTCCATTGAATTAACAAAACTAGGCATGGTTACATGAATTTAGGAATATCAAACTATACAAAATATAAATAAAATACATCTAAGATTTTGACATCAACTGTGGATCAAGGGTCACTTATCATCAAGGATAATAAAAATGTGCCGAACTGCAAAATAGTGTGCATGGCTCTTGGTAACAATGTTGGTCACTGCTACCTAGGTTCATGGGGAGGGGTAGACTGGATACAAACCTAACCTTGAGGTTTTAGCACCGGGTAACCATTCTTAGGCTCAAAGGTAACTGAGATAAGACGGCCAGAAAAAATAATACAATAAGATCCCAGAAAGGCAGATTTTATGAAATTTTGAGGTGGTCTAAGTGTCAGGCTCTTAACTGAGCTGGAAAAGTCATGACCTCTAGATTTTGGTGCTCCAAAGCAGTGGCATGCACACTGCCACTGGTTTAGATCTTGTTACTTCAAACTCTAAAACCATGTCTTTTTGGGCAACAAGAATAGTTATCATAGTGCAAAAAGATTAATCCAGTAAGAATTTATAATATGATTGATCGGAGGGAATGATTTAAAAGTTCACAATCAAGAAGTGTTGGACTTGTCAGTAGCTATGGACAACAGTTAAAACTTTAAAGATCCTAAATCAGGATTATACATGCAGGACAGAATACAGTCTATAGAGGGGAATGGCTGGTCTGAAATACAGCTTTAAGATTCAAGGGTTGGTGGGTGATATGGGCCAAAGTGGGGATTTACACAATTTAAAAAAAAATAGAATTACATCAAAATATAGGGTAGTTTAAGTGACCTTGGATAAAAGGAAAATTGCCATAAGAAACAGACATGTAAACTAGTTTAAAAGCACATAATCAGAGTTTCAACATCAAAGATTCTTTTTATAAGTAACAGAAATTCATTAATGTAAAAACAAGCTAGCCCCATAGGAGTAGCAGTCCAATAGAAACTCCCAGCCCTGGTTCTCCCCAACCCAAGAACTGTTTAACTGGTCTGGCTTTAGCTAGTGCATCAGCCATGCTGTTTGAACTTCTTGGAATCTACTTGAATGAGATGTTCAATTTTTCACCTAGAAAATGAGTCTATCTGACCAGAATCCTAAATCTTCCATCAAGAGAGATATGGAATAGATACAGAAATACAGACACTTTCTACAGAGTACAAGCCCCTCGCAGAATGGGCCTCAGACATCTATTCAATGTGATGGAATAAGTTTGACTAGAACTATGTATACTATCTTACACTACCAATATGAATTGTCAAACTATAGACACACTTCTTTTATAACTATTTGGTTGGCACTTGCAAGAAAAATGTTTGGATGGCACCACAAGTCAGGGGTTCCATAACTTTTCACATTTTGATATTTAGGCGCTCAGGACTAACCATTTTATAAGTCCCAGCATACAGAGAAACAGAAAAGAAATCACTTTTAAGCATAATCACAAGTGCTTTTACTCCATTCATTTGTCCAAAAGAAATGTGGATGTTTGAACCATGAACATTCTTTTAAAACTGTAGGAATTTCTCATAATAATGCATAAATCAAGTGGTTAAAAGTTGTCTGGTCATCATAGTGCCTGGGATGGGCACCTTATTAAATGGATACTGATCCTCCAAATAATCAACATTTTGCAAGGTGATCTTAATACAAGAATGTCAGAAATGTCAGAGGGGCTCTAAGCTTATTCATTATCTTGGCATGCAAATCTTCTTAATCAAGCTATCCATTAGAGAGTGTTAACCCTTTTAGATTGCATCCAACAAAAGATTTTAATAATTTTTGTAATGGTTATTCATCATTTAAGTACTATTTTTTTTTGTTGAACAAGGTGCATCAGAAAGAAAGCATTTCTGGACAATGCAAGTTCCTAATGGACTGCTCTTGCAGTTCTTTTAAGATTCTCAAGGGGTACAAAGTAGCCAAGGCAATCATTGTGCAGCTGATTGGAAATGGGAGATAACTACTTTGCATGGACCCTTCAATATATTCAACCAAACACTTTTTTTTTTGATAATTCAAACACAAATTTCTTTTCTATGACAAACAAGTCCAATCTTGTTAGTGAATACCTAATGCATCTTATTTGAATCTTTTAATTAGCACTCAAGAATTTGGTTAATTATCAGATAACAAGTCTTTTTGGTGTCAGTTTGGCACTATATGGTGAAAAATATCATAACTAGTATCTAGACAAATACTTGACTGTATCCAGTCCCACTGTTGTGCTGCATAAAAAACCAGGTAAAACAATTCAGGATTCACATTCATAGTGGTATACTGGTATCTAGCAGAAATGCAGGAAATCACTTACCTGTGTTTGCCTTTCCTTCTCCATGTCAAGATTGTGACGCAGCTCTCTTGTTTTTGCACGCTCAATCTCCAGTGCTCGCTGCCTCTCAATCTCACGCTCCATTTCACTAGTTCTCTCCCTAAGAATACATAACCAGGTTGTCAATAGCAGCATGCAAATTGAGATGTAATCTACACTCTGAACTCAACTATTCGTAAAGCTATGATTTAAAACTTGATTTGCAAGTAAAACCTATCAAGTTCTTGCAGAAGTTCTGCCTCTCGTAAAGCTGCCTCTTCCAAATACTTCTGGCGGGCATGTCTTACAAGAAGTTTCTTTTGTCTGCGAGCCACTATTTCTTCTCTGAGTTTTGATTTCTCTCTGTGATCATTCCACACAAAAAAGGAAATACATTCAATTCATCAAGTCCCAGACCATACTATACTAATATGCAAAGGCATAAGAGATTATTAAAAAGCAGTATGCAACTAATATCAGGCCTGCTGATGGGAGTGTTTAAAAATTAAACTAACATAAGATTTCCTTCTAGGGAGGATTAATGGCTCCATTTTGGTGAAAAATAAAGGAAGTTAACTAGTCAAAATACAGAAAGCATAGGAGCATAGTCATCTACATACTTGACAAGTTACATTTATTTAAAGACATACCTTGAATTTCCAGGCAGATTAAAGGTGCCTTCATTGTTGCTAGTTTAGTTCATATTGCATCGATTCTCTAAGTTTTCCCCAGTTCACTACATAACTAAATTTGTGTTTGGATAGATGAGCTTGGCTTTGGCCTTTAGTATTTGCATCCCGTTGAATAAGATTTAAATGGATTAAATTTAAATTATTCAAAACCTTGTTTGGATATTGATTTTGAATAATGTAAAATTGAATCTTCAGATTCTACATTTGCAGAGAAAGATTAACATTGCTGGGATTAGAGTTTGGAGTTGGAGACTGTTAGAGATAAGAGCATAACAGGTCCAATCTGGAGCAAATCCATTTAGATCAGGGATCCTATTTTATGTAAAAAAACTCTTGCCAGATCCAGATCTGAATCTAGATCCAAGTCAGATGTGAAGGTATTAATCCATTTGCACATTCAGGCTAGATCTCAGGTCAGATTCCAAAAGGATATGGCTGGAGATGGTCCACCTTTTCATAAACTTCACCAGACACAAACCAGATCCATTTCAGAATAGGGTCCATTCATGATGATCCAAACCCACTAAATGCTAGTATGGAGAACATCATGGCAATGTTTTAAAGCATGGAAGCATGACATGAAGCATTCCACTACCTGGAGGCGTTAGGCATAGTTCAGAACGTAAGAGGCATAAGCCTCACAGAAATCTCCTTAAGAGGAGGATCTCATCTTGTTTCTTTTCTTTTTTTTTTTGGTTTCCTTTTTATGAAAGATGTTTTGTATTAAGAAAAATGAAGATGCATAACAGTAGCTGAGGCATACGCCTCTAGCATGCCTCATGCAAAAGGCATTTGAGGTGTACACTTTATGCACCTGAAGTGCATGCCCCAGAGACATCAACACCTCTGGCATGCACCTAAGGGCGTTTTGGGGTGTATGCTTCCCACGCCTTTTTAAAACATTGGATCAGAAAGAGAGAGAGAAACACAGCCTACTTTGTATTCACAATTCTAATTCCACCACTATCAATTATCAAAACACAGCCTAAGTAAATGCACTACAAGAAGCAAACAATTATATTTTACCAATACGTTTGCTCTAAACAATGACAAAACAAAACAAAAAATCACATTGAAATACTTACATGGAATGGATTTCATCTTTAATTTGCTGAAGACGGTTACCATCCTTCATATTAACTGATTAAATTCACATAAGAAATACGAAAAATCAGCAAAAAGACCTACTTCAATTAAATGTTCTAACTGACAATTATTAACATGATAAATCTGCAAATATTAAGGAGAGCAATTATTACCAGGTGAAAGAGGTAATTGATGCGGCTCCCTAAAATTTTTAGATGATTCTTGTAATGCTTGTTCTTTCTGAAGAAGGTCCATCTCTATTTCAGCCTCTTCTAGCTCCTATAACATTTGCAATTTATAGAATCAAATCAATCTAAAATATCTGAAATAAAGTCATATCATGGATTATTATTATTATTATTATTATTATTATTATTGAAACTTACAATTGCCTCTTGGTCAATCTTCTTTGCAAAGATACCAAAATATGATTGAACATGGGTCAGATTACCAAGCACCTATAAAACAATTACATATCTGTTTAGTGAACAAGACAGTAGAAGACAATAGAATTATGGAGTGATACTGAAGATGAAAAAAAAAAAGAAAGACATAAATTAGAAAGTAAAACCACTTCCCATGCGTCAAGGGGCAAAGTAACAATCTTATACATTGACAAATTCTCCATCCAAATTTCATCACTGTCATCACCTAAGCCTTGTCCTATCTATATGGAGCCTGCTACACGAATCTTGTTTCACTATTCCATTTTATTCAGTGCCGTATCCATTGCTTTTTTTTTTTTTTTTTTGAGAAGTTGTAGGAATTTCATTAACTTTAAAGAAAAAAGAGGCTGATGAGGGAGCAATTTCCTCAATAACCAGGCAATACAAGGGCAAGAGAACTAATAAAGATTGCAAAGCAAAACCATCACCCCCCAAAATACTATCCCAATGGTCTACAAAACAACGGAAATCCAGGCCCTGAAAAATCCTGATAACAGATGCCCATTTGAACAAGGTTCTTTCCAGCTTGGCACAAAGCTTCTCAAAAGATGAGGATGATCTTCAATCACCTGGCCATTCCTCTCCTTCCATAAGCACCAGCATAAGGCCAAGGGAAGCGAATTCCAGAGCACCTTACCCCTTCTACTTAGGCATGACCTCTCTAGGGTGAAAACAAGGAGCCCACATCAGTGGGCGTAACTTAGCTCATTCCAAAGAACTGTAAAGCATGGGACCACAGACTGTAGGAAAAGCTACAAGAAACAAGGAGATGCTGAATAGTCCCCTCATACAAACCACAAAGATAGCAATGATTTACAAGGACCACACCTTTCTTTCTCAGCACATCAATTTTAGGAATCTTTCCTTCTAGAGCTACCCAAGCAAAGAAAATAATCTTGGAGGGAGCTTTTGATTTCCAAATCCACACCCAAGGGGGACAGACAGCTTGATCTTCAGCAAGCAGATGAAGCATAGAGTTAACAGTGGACATACCAGATTTGTTATGAGGAAGTGAAAGAGAAAAAAACATATTAGACTGGGAGTATCCTTGTAATATGTCAACATACATAATCATATATACAATTAATGCATATATGTATCTATCCATAGATGATTGGGATCTTAATCAGTTCGGAATAACCAAAACCAATCATGATCCGATTAATCGGTCCAAAGGACCAAAGCCTTTCATTTCCTTCCCAATCCTTATCATGAAATCTTAAATCATTCCTTGGTAATAAGAACTCATGTCTGTTGTACAACACCAACCATCATTGAAACTTTCTTGGCTAAGCTGCAAAAAAACATTGTAGAGAAGATGGGCCGAATGGCCCATAGGCTGTTTATCCTTTTTTATTTTTTATGTTCTTTGCTGTAATGGGCCTTAATCTGGGCATTATTCGTTCTTATGTTATGTTTTTTTAATTTCCTACCCAACTAGGGGCCTCTCTGTAAATTACTAAAGTTTAACTTAATGAAATGGAATTAGGGGTGTAAGAGAGAAGGTTATGTTCGAACATCTCTCTCTCTGAACCCTAGTTGCCACCACCTTTTTCTTCTTCTTCTCTCTTCTTGAAACCTGATTTCTGCTACTTCCTTTTGATTTTCTGCAATTTTTTAAACAGTCTTTTCTTTTCAAAAGGCTGTTTTTCTTCTTGGTATCAAAGCAGGCTTGACTTTTCCCTTTCTTTACCTCTTTTTTCCCATACACTATGTGTATGAAGAACTGAATCGTATGATTAGTTAAAGAAACCTATTTCAGCCCAGTTGTTAGTGGTTTTTGGAGAGTAGGGGAGTAATTTTGTCGTCCTCCTGACAGATTCAAGTGTGTTGCCCGAAACCCTAATTATCTGGAGAAATCTGATTGCGGGCCCCACTGAGAGTTTGACCTGGGCGCTCAATGACTGAAAGTCTTTGTTAGTGAAGGGGTATTTCGGTCTTTGTACCTGTTGAGAGTGCTGATGTGTACTATTATGTCAGTTCGAGTGCCTCTTACTTAAATAAGGGCACTTATGTCTTTTCCAATTACATTAATAATATAATAACAGGTCTGGCCGAAAGTAGGTGTGATTTTTTCCTAATTTCGAACCAGACCTTTTCTCTTCTCCTTCCTCTTTCTTCCTTCTTCTTTCCTCTCTTCCTTCTTGCTGTTTACTTTACTTTTCAGCTAACAAACAAAACAGACTTCTAGGGCAGGCCAAACTTCAACATGGTATCAGAGCCACATTAAACAAATCAGACCTGCTAGAATTCTGTTTTCTGCGCATTCGAACTAGGGTTTCTCTTGGATTTCTCAGCTGTTGGTTGGAGACTGGGAAAAGGGCTGAAAAGGAGTGATTGCCCTCTTCCCTTGGAGTTTTCTATGCCTCCGGTCGTGTCATTGGTGATTGGTTTCTGTGGTTTCTAAGCCCTCCCCTAATTAATGTAGGGCTGGTGCGTGTGGTGCAGTGGTGTTTCATTCCTTCGTGTGGTTGGCCTTCAGGCGATGAGGTAAGGAGTTTTTTTTTTATGCATATTTTCTGTTATGGAACACATGAGAGGTGTGGTACAAATCGTATGATGGGTTTTCAGATTGCAGTATGCTAGGGTTTATGCTGGYTTGTGTGTGATTCAAAGGGAAGTAGTGTTTACTTAATGGTGAAACTTCCGGTAGCTGTAGAGTAGGATTTGTGGTGTTATAAGTACGGCTTTCAGCCTTTGTTATTGCTGAAATCAGTGTGCAGATTTCGGTGAAGTGTCTGTGTGCAGTGTGCAGTGTGTAGTGCTCAGGATTCAGTGATAAGGGAATTTGGCAATGGCAGATAACAGTGATAGTAAACCTAGTGTGATGATATCTACTAACTACCTGAATGTCCAAATGACCTCCATTAAACTRAATGGAGAGAATTATGTCCCTTGGGCCAAGTCTATGGAGGTTTTTGTGAAGGCGAAGAAGAAGGTAAAGCACATAAGAGAGGATAAACCCCCCACTAGTTCAGGAGTATGAAGACTGGGAACAGGAAGATGCACAGATCATCACATGGTTGTGGAACAGTATGAAACCCATAATTAGTGTGAACTTCATGTTTCTTGACACAACCAAAGAGGTGTGGGAACATGCTAAGAAATTGTATTCTGGTCAGGATAATACAACTAGGGTATATCAACTGTATCAGGAATACTTCAATCTGCAACAGGGAARTCAGAGCCTTGAGGAGTACTATGCCAGTATGAGAAATATCCATAATGAGCTAAATGTAATATCACCCTCTCACTTCTGATGTCAAGGTTCAACAGCAACAG